GAGGAGGCGGAGGAGGAGGAGAAGGAGGAGGAGGAGGAGGAGGAGCAAGAGGAAGGGAGGAGGAGGAGGAGGAGGAGGAGGAGAAAAGGAGGAGGAGGAGGACGAGGACGAGGAGCAGGAAGAGGAAAATGAGGAGGAGGGGGGGACGAGGAGGAGGAGAATGAGGAGGAGGAGGAGGAGGAGGAACAGAAGGAAGAGGAGGAGGAAGAAAAGGAGGAGGAGGAGGAGGAGGCGGAGGCGGAGGCGGAAGCAGGGGCGGCGTCGGCGGCGGCGGCGGCGAGGAGGAGGAATAGGAGGAGGAGGAGGAAGAGGATGAGGAGGAGGAAGAGGATGAGGAGGAGGATGGGGGAGGAGGAAGAGGAGGAGGCGGAGGAGGAGGAGGAGGAAGAGGAGGAGGAGGAGGAGGTGGACGAGCAGAAGGAGGAGGCGGAGGATGAGGAGGAATAGGAATTGCAGTTGGAGGATGGAGTGGTGGAGGAGGAGAAGGGGGAGAGATGATGATGATGCTGATGATGATGATGATGATGATGATGATGCTGATGCTGATGCTGATGCTGATGCTGATGATGATGATGCTGATGATGATGATGGTGATGATGATGATGATGATGATGATGATGCGGACGATGATGACGATGATGCTAATGGTGATGGGGATGGTGATGGTGATGGCGATGGTGGTGGTAATGATGATGCTGATGATGGTGATGCTGTTGATGCTGATGATGCTGATATGCTGATGCTGCTGATGATGACGATGATGCTGCTGCTGATGCTGATGATACTGCTGCTGATGATGATGATGATGGTGGCGGTGGTGGTGGTGATGGTGCTGATTGTGGTGATGATTATGATGATGATGAGGATGAGGATGATGATGATGATGATGATGCTGCTGCTGCTGCTGATGATGATGGACATGATGAACATGGCGATGTTGAGGATGATGAAGGCGATGATGATGACGATGTTGTTGTTGATGATGATGATGATGATGATGATGATGATGCTGATGATGATGATGATGATATGGGGTGATGATGATTGTGATGATGCTGATGATGCTGATGACGAGGATACTGACGATGAAGATGATGATACGATGAAGGTGATGAGGATGATGATGCTGCTGCTGATGATGGTGATGATGATGCTGGTGCTGATGATGAGGATGATGATGCTGTTGCGGATGATTCTGATGATGCTGATGAGGGTGGTGGTGGTGATGATGATGCCGATGACGATGCTGATGCTGATGAAGACGATGCTGATGACGATGATGTTGATAATGCTGATGACGATTATGATGCTGATGCTGATGATGATGCTGATGATGCTGATGCTGATGATGATGATACTGATGATAATGATGATAATGATGATACTGACGATGCTGCTGATTATGATGATGACGATGACGATGACGATGATGATGACGCTGATGACGATGATGATGCTGATGATGAAGCTGAAGATGATGCTGCTGATGATGAGGATGATGATGCTGATGAGGATGATGATGATGAAGATGGTGCTGATGCTGTTGATGATGATGACGAACCTAATGATGATGCTGATGATGCTGCTGCCGATGATGATGATGATGATGCTGATGATGATGATGCTGATGATGATGATGATGCTGACGATGATGATGATGTTGACGATGCTGATGATGATGATGATGATGATGATGATGATGATGATGATGATGATGATGATGATGATGATGATGCTGATGCTGATGACAATGGCGATGACGATGATGATTATGATGATGCTGCTGATGATGATGATGATGATGACGTTGATGATGTTGATGATGATGATGATGATGATGATGATGATGATGATGATGATGATGATGATGATGCTGATGCTGATGCTGATGATGATGATGATGATCTTGATGATGATGCTGATGCTGATGATGATGATGATGATGATGATGATGATGATGATGATGATGATGATGATGATGATGATGATGATGATGATGATGATGATGCTGATGATGATTACGCTGATGCTGATGCTGATGCTGATGCTGATGCTGATGGAATTGGTGGTGGTGGTGGTGGTGCTGATACTCGTGGCTGTGGTGATGATGGGAAGGAGAAGGAGAAGCAAGGAGAAGAGGAGGAGTAGGAGGAGGTTGAGGAGGAGGAGGAGGAGGAGGAGGAGGAGGAGCAGGAGCAGGAGCAGGAGCAGGAGCAGGAGCAGGAGCAGGAGCAGGAGCAGGAGGAATAAGAAGAGGATGAGGAGGATGAGGAGGAGGAGGAGGAGCAGGAGCAGGAGGAGGAGGAGGAGGAGGAGGAGGAGGAGGAGGAGGAGGAGGAGCAGTGGCGGGAGCAGGAGCAGGAGCAGGAGCAGGAGCAGGAACAGGAGCAGGAGCAGGAACAGGAGCAGGAGCAGGAGCAGGAGCAGGAGGAGGAGGAGGAGGAGGGGAGGAGAAGGCAGGAGCAGGAGGAGGAGGAGGAGGATGGAGGAGGAGGAGGAGGAGGCAGGAGGAGGAGGAGGAGATGGAGGTGGAGGTGCCGGAGGAGGAGGTGGAGGCAGAGGCAGAAGCGGAGGCGGAGGCGGAGGAGGAGGAGGAAGAGGGGAGGGAGCAGGAGCAGGAGCAAGAGCAGGAGGAAGAAGAGGAGGAAAAGGAGGAGGAGGAGGAGGAACAAGAGGAGGAGGAAAAGGAGGAGGACGAGGAGGAGGAGGAGGAGGAGGAGGAGGAGGAGAAGGACAAGGGGGAAAAGGAGGTGGAGGAGGAGGAGGAGGAAGAGGGGGAGGAGGAAGACCCGTGTAAACCCAAGATTTCTCAACGATATTGCAGTACACCCTCGCTCCGCATTCCTTCTTCATATGCCCCTTTACACGGTTCACTTTCACTGAGATGATTGTCCCATCGGAGGACAATCGTGTGAACATCTTGAATGTTCCTGGGATTTCAACGGCGCGAATTGTCGTCGTTGTTGTCGTTGTTGTTGTTGTTGTTGAACATTATTCCTTCTAAAGAATTATTATTGTTGGGACCCCTGGTGCGCGACCTCTGCGCCGCGCCTAGGCCGCAGCTACATTTTCATCATTTTTTCGCGAAAGCTTCAGAAAAGTGGATGAGCTCCGGATCCGGTTTTTTGTTGACGCTCGTTTTCCCTTGCAAAAAACAATAGAAAATGAAAATTCTTGTTTTTACTTGATCAAATTGCAAGAATCCCTTGCAAAAAATAAGGTAAAGTGGACATTCGTGCGCGCAAGACGAAATCCTTCCAAAACCTTAGGTTTCGTAACGATTTTAACATAAAAACATCAAAAACCCAATGGTTTTCTCAGAAAAAATTGTCAAAATGTCCTTCCGCGCGCTCTTGCGGATTCCTAGGAAACCCACCAGATTTTAAACATTGCTGTTAAAAGTGATCAACCTCTGCGGGTGTGTACTCCACGCCAGTGTAGTATCCACGATCGTCCGCGCGCCACGAAGTGAAGTGTCCTGACGTCATAGGGCGGGAAGCTGGGTGTGGGTGGTTCCCGAGAGTCGTGTGGATGTTTGGTAGAGCTTGCATTGCCCCCCCACGAAGTGGGGGTATTGGCTGGCGTCGCATGAAAACCCTGGCACTGGGGAGAACACTGAGCGTTCGGGTAAAATGATTGTTGTTGTTGTTGTTGTTGTTGTGTTGTTGTGGTTGTGTTGTTGTGGTTGTTGTTGTTGGTTGTGGTTGTGGTTGTGGTTGTGGTTGTGGTTGTGGTTGTGGTTGTTGTTGTTGTTGTTGTTGTTGTTGTTGTTGTTGTTGTTGTTGTTGTTGTTATGTCTTGGCGCTCTTGAATCGTACCAGAAAGCCGTTCCTGGGACTTCACCACCGCGAATCAACGTACCTGTTGTACCCTGGCAGTCCGACATCGTTCGACAACACCATTCCTGGGACGTCAGCCATGAGAATCTTTGAATCACGTGTGTGAACTCTGAAAACGACTGTGCGTGGCGCCAAGGCGAGAGCAACATTCTGAAAAGGAGCCGCCCGGCATCCGTGAAATTCTTGCAAACTAAGACGAATGCGCGCGGCGCTGAGGCGAGAGCCACATTTTGGGAAAGGAGTTGCCCTCTATCCGTGAATCGTTTGCGAACTTTCAATTTGAATGCGCGCGGAGCTAAGGCGAGAGGTGCATTCTGAAAGCGGGCCGCCCTGATCCGTGAAAGTTCTGCAAACTTTTATTGCGAATGTACGCGGCGCTAAGGCGAGAGGCACATATTCAAAGTGGCCCGCCCTCCATCCGCAAAGCGCTTGCAAGCTTTTGAATACGAATGTGCGCGTCGCTGAGGCGAAAACCACAGTTTGGAAACGGCCCGCCCTCCATCCGTGAAGCTCTTGCAACTTCTCAGCTCAATGATCATATAAAAGGTGAGGACGTTTCAGTCGAAGCGCCCGGCCCGCCGTCAACGAGCTCGGGGTGCGACAGGGAGGAGAAATTGATAAGCATAATGAATGGAGGAGGAGTAGGAGGAGGAGGAGGGGGAGGAGGGGGAGAAGGAGGAGGAGGAGGAGGAGGTGGAGGAGGAGGAGGAGGAGGAGGAGCAGGCGGAGGTGGAGATGGAGGTGGAGGTGCCGGAGGAGGAGGTGGAGGCAGAGGCAGAAGCGGAGGCGGAGGCGGAGGCGGAGGAGGTTGAGAACGATGCGTTACGGAGAGGCCCCCCCCGACGGCTTGACGGGACCGCGAACCTTCTTATCACTCCCCCTTTGGTCTTCCTCTCCTCAGCCTCCTCCTCCACCTTTGCAGCGCCTCCTCGCATCACTCATCTTCTATGGCGCCTCCGTGTTCCTCTTCTCTGCCCTCCGCCATTTTTTGCCGTCGCCCGACTGAAAGCTTCTCAAGATTTGTCCCTGGACCCCTCCCAGGGGATCCATCCTGGCCAGTTTTTTCGAGCTGCGTCTGGTCCTGGTGACGAGAACCGCCAGATACGCCCCAGCTCCAACGAGACCGACGACGACGAAAACGTCGACGACGTCCCCCTCTGCAGGTCACCCTCTGCGCGGAGCACCCCGACGACGACGGCGCGCCCAAGGCGCCCGCGGCACCGCGGCGGCTCCGCTGGCTCCGCGGCGGGGCCAGGCGGCCCTGCGTCTCGGTCCGCCAGCCGCCGTCAATGTCGCCCCTTCTTCCTCCGTCGTCGTCGTCTAAGTCGTCTTCGTCATGGTTCTCCTTCTCTCCTCCTCTTTCCCCCGCCCTCCCCCCTCCCTCCTCCTCAAGGGTTTCTTATCTTAGCGGACGCTTGGAAAAGAAAAAAATGGAGCCACCAGGGGATTGGAACATGGTCCGTTTTTCTGCCACCGTCAAGACGGGCGAGAGACGTGTGTACAGAACAAGAGAGCCCTGACATCAGTTATTCCAGTGAACATGCGATGAAGTGCAAGACCTATTGTGCAAGAGGTGCGATGCGGGGACGCGGATATAGAGCCCATGTTCTCCTTAAGCGTGTTGCAGGGAATCGGAAATCCATTAGACGTGCTTGGAACTCCTGGTGCCCTTGCATGACGCAGGCGAAGTAGAGATGCAGCGTCGGAAAAGGTTTTGGCTGGCCTAGAATCTGGGCAATCAAACTGCGGCTGATGAATAGCTCGGCTTTCCTATCGCGCCGGCTACGTTTGTTTTGCGTCACCGTTGGAAGCAGTGTTGTTTGTACAGTTTAAACTTGTTGGCGCCCAGGTTGCAGAGGCATGTCTGTATTAATCTGCTTCAGGTATTCTGCTACGCTACATCTGCGCCGCTCTCTAACGCAGGCCGGACAAACAATGATATGCATCTCCAGACCACGATGTGGCCGTGGTAAGATGCTCTGGCTGTGGACGTGCACGGGCAGACCAAGGCACACGTCCGACGCAAGTGGCCACTGGCAGGCAGGTGCAGATCATGAGGGGCGATTCGGACCAGGACGGACCCACGCGCCCATCTTGCGGCAGGCGCGTGCAGCGAGAAGGCAGTTCTCGGCACGCCTTCACGACGGGCCAAGTTCAGCGACCTTCTGTTGCAGCGGCAATTGATCTTGTTCGGTGATATTGCGCGCAAGTGCAACGACCATCCTGTCAGGCAGGTCGTTTTCCAACTTTCCTCTTCCGAGCACAGCAGCCCTGTCGCCGACAGAAGGGCAGGCCCCGGCAGGCGTGGGCGTCAGAGTTGTACAAGTATGTGCAGCATACTTGTCGTGATGTTGGTTGTCATATACATAATTTGGGCACCTTGACAGCAGAAGCCTGGAAAGCGGCAGTGCGCAAGTATATTGTCTAGCGCGCGCTCGTACCATTGCTCATGTGCCTACGGACGCGCGGCTTCATTCATTCATTCACGACGGGATGGGTGTCGCAGCTGGGCAGAGCTCGCTGCTGACGTGGAAGCCTGGGCCACCCTCGCGGATTGTGTGAAGTCTTGCTATTCAGGGAGACTGCCGTAGGTGTGCCCACGCCCAGCCCAAACATTCCAGTATTCCCCGTGTCGCTATCCCCTTGGAGCTGTGGGCCATGTCAGGTTGTTTCTCGATGGCGTGCCCCCCAGAACCAGGCGGAACGGCGGAAAAATAACGCCTAGGTGCACTACGCAGGAAACGACGGTGACAGCGGCGGCAGGCGGTGGGGCTGGCGTGCGCGACGACGGGGTACCAGGAGGAGGAGGAGGAGGAGGAGGAGGAGGAGGAGGAGGAGGAGGAGGAGGAGGAGGAGGAGGAGGAGGAGGAGGAGGAGGAGGAGGAGGAGGAGATGAGGCGCGCCAGGCGGCGGAGGACAGCAACGAATCGGGGGTGACCCGAGGCGGAGAGGGACGATGGACCCTGGCCCAGAAGGCGGGGATGGTGCGGCGGCTTGTAGGATCGATGATCCCCAAGACGTGTGTTAGAGCCCAATGTGTGTGTTATTCCGCTCAGCTCCACCAGTAGATCATGTCATCGCCTGCGTCGTATTGGACGGTCTCGATGACAAACACTTTTTTACCACCCAGAGGGAGCCCCGCGGCGAGAACGGGCGACAAGCGGACGCGGAAAAGCCGGAAGAGGAGAGGAGAAGGAGGGGGGGAGGAGGAACGATGGGGACAAAAAACATGCCGGTCGAGCACGCCGGACAACAGCTGCCCAGTGCAGTCGTTTCGAAGCCAATTACAGTTTAATGAGCCCAGCGCCACCGCCCCCCCCCCACTCACTAGTCGGTGGGGGCCTGGGCGCGCCGCCACGCGCTGCCTCAAGACCCCGCGCCAAGCAGCCTCAGCGCCGCTGGCCCGCGCGAGTGGGAGCAGCATCAGCGCGGCCGCCCTCGCCGGCAGGATGGGCACCCAACCGGCGCATGGGCGACTCGCGAGGCGCGCTCAATCCGGGGCCCAGCAGCCGCAGCGCAAGCAGGCGACGGAATTGGGCCCCTGCGACGCCGCGTGCGCCTTCCCCGCCCCGCCACCGAAGGACGCCCGCGCCGCAGTCGCTGGCCCAGGCCGCGGCGCGACGCCCTTGCCCCCTTGCCCCCCTGCCGCCCTTGCTGCCCCACCGCAGCGGCCGCAGCTGCTTCATCGGCCACGCGCGGCGCTCGGCGGCGCGGGGGCCCGCCCCAGCGGCGACGCACACGAGGCCCCGCCAGGCCGCGGCTGCGATGATTGGCCTTGAGGGCCTCGAGCTCGACGGCGGCCAGCATCGATTGCAGCACCCTGAGGGCGTTGAGCTGCACGAGCCGCCTCTGCAGTTGGACCGCCGCTGGCAGGCGAGCCTTGGCAGCGGTGCCGGCCAGCCTGTCCGCTGCCGCGTTGCCGTGGAGGTCCTCGGCTGCCACGCCGCGCGCCGCCCATCCTCATCGAGGTGCCCCTTCATCCAGCGCGCGATGATGATCCTGGTCCTGCAGTGAGACGCCAGGCGCCCCCACAAGTCCGCATGTGCCCAGTCCCGGGCTGAGGCGCCCTGGCGGATTGCCGCGATGCCATGGGCCACGAATTTGGAGTCCGTGATGACCTCGACGGGCTGGCCCGCCTCGCTGACCGCGCGCAGAGCTGACGGCAGCTCCGCGCGTTGTGCGGTTTGCTGCCCGTCCACGGGCCCGCAGTGCTCAGTGCGCGTTGCGCCATGGGCCGCCGGGCGCTTCAGCTGAAAGCCCCAGCCCGCGCGCGCCAACAGCGGGTCCGTGGGATGCTCGCATGCCTCATCCGTCCAAGCCCTGCAGCGCTGCCGCTGGTCCAGCTGGACCACGGAGGGCTCCGGCATCGGTGGCGCCGGCATTGGCGCGCTTGCCGCTGTGGCCTCCGTCGCCAGCTGGGGGTCCAGAGAGAGGATTCCGGAATCGCCAGCCGGTACACCTTTTCTTGAACTGTCCTTGATTTCTGTGCCCTGGTCTGGACATGCGCCTCCAGCCGGCGGCACTTCTTCAGCCGATGTGTCGTGCAGACACGGCGTCATTGATTGATTGATTGGCGGCTGGGCCAGCGGGGCGGCGGGCGAGAATCCCCCTGCTGAGAGCGCCACGCGCCAGGCTGGGGACCAACGGGCAGTCCCCAAACCGGTGCTGCTGGTCCTTCCGCGCCGCGCCGCAATGCGGGCAGCGCTCGGGTTTGCCCCACTCGGTGACGACATTGCCACTCGAAGGGCGCCGGCGGCGTCGGGCGCAAGCTCGCCGCTCTCCAGGAGGCGACGGGTGGCCAATGCCCCCCGCTACGTGAGCAAAGTCGGCGCGCCTGGTCGCGACCTCACGGGCGTCGCGGCGTTCCCAGGCTGCAATTGGCGCCGACGGGATGCCCTGCCAGCGCGCCACATCCGCGCCCAGCTGCAAAGCCGCCACGCTGCGCGCTGCAGCTGCGAATGAGCCCTTGGCGACGGCCGTACCCCGTGGCGATGGCTCCCTCGGCCTCCCACCAAAGGTCCTCTGGGAAGCGGCCACGCCGCGGCGCCGTGGCGACCTGTCACAGCGGCGCGTTGACCGTTAATCGCTGCTGGGTCCAGCCGCCAGCTGGGGCTGAGGACGCCGAATACCACCTCCGCCGCGGCGCGGAGCCCACCCTTGCCGACGGCGTGCCGCGCCGCCGAGCGGAGCCCCGCGAGCTCGCGAGCCGGCGGCAGCCCGCACGCGGCTCCAAACATACCTGCTGCAGTGCCGGCTGCGGCCCCCAACAGGCAGCGCTGCCGGAAGTCCACTGGCAGGCGCCCGATCTGGGCGAACTTGCCCGCCGCCGTGAGCAAGCGGCTCGGCGCGACCGCGCAGCGGCGTCGGTGACCCGCGGTCGCCACGACGGCAAGATCCTTGAAGCTGGTGCGGGCGGGAATGCCCAGCGCCTGCGCCGACAGCCAGCGCCGCACCGCCGCCGAATTCGCGAACTGCGCGCTCTTGCCGCGGTTGAGCTGCCAGCCCATGGCGTGCTCAAAAGCCGCGGTCACCCGCAACGCATCGCGGACCGACTCCGCCGCCTCGCTGGCTTCCTGCGCCAGACGCCGGCTCCATAGCGTGAAATCACCCACGTAAATTCTGCGTTGCAGGCGGTCGTCGACCGCGCCAGTGCGCCGGTGCCAGGGCCACGTCAGGACGCTCAAGAAGAACGCCGCGAGTGCAGGTCTCGGACAAACACACGTTGGCGCTAACACACGTTCCGAGGATCATCGGTAGGAGCGTTGGTGGAGGGGAAAGCACCAGGGACCAGCGAGAAAGGCAGAGCGAGGTTGGGGCTGCGGCTGGGCAGTGAGGCTGGGGAAGGTCGCGAGTGGGGGATGGCGAAAACAGCGAGAGAAGCAGGATCTGTTGAGCGACCAGGGGGGGGCGTCGGAGGGACGGAGACGACACGAGCGCGACAGGTGCGACGAGGTTGGTGGATGGGGAGGGGTGGCGGGCGCGTGGGCAAAACGTATCGGTGCAGATGGGCTGCTTTTACGATGTGCATGCCATGCCGCCCCCGTCCTCCTCCTCCTCCTCCTCCTCCTCCTTCTCCCCCTCCCCCTCCCCCTCCCCCTCCTCCCTCTCGGTCGTACCTCGTACCTTTCCCTCCTGTTTCTCGTCCTCCTCCTCCTCTTCCTACTTCTCCCTCTTTGTCCCCTCTCCCTCTGCCCCCCTCTCTCTTCCTCTTCCTCCCTGATTCCATCCATGTACAGCTGGCAGATGGACAGGGTGTTGCAGAACTTGCACGAGAGGATCGGTGAT